TCATAGCATCTAAGTCTGTGTCTCTTGTTACTTCTCGCCAGAACTTTACGTCATCAGAGTGCTGTAGCGTCGGAGACTAGGATGTACTTAGGAGTTTGCTTACATACAGTGTAAAGAATAAAGAAACTGGGACAGAGCCTTGAAGTACTCCACTAATTGTTGGTTTCCAGGAGGGCCTTTGAGAATTTATTCTTACTTCCCGTTTAAGACCTACCAAGATTTCTTTAATCCGTTTCAAGAGAGGTATGGTAACTCATATATTTTCCAGCTTTAAGAGAAATATGTTTTTCGGCACCCTATCAAATGCCTTACTGAAGTCTACGTAGGTAACATCTACCGATTTTCCACTATCTAGAGCCTTTGTCCATAGATCTCTTACTATGAGGAGGTTCGTTGTACAAGATAATCCTTTCCTGAAACCATGTTGTTCGTTGTTTCATAAGTTATTGGTTTCCATGGATGTCACTATGGCTCTTTCGGTTATTCTTTTCCTTATTTTAACCACGACACTGATGAGATTGACAGGTCTGCAATTTGATGGAGGAAGTCATAATCCTGTTTTATGAATTGGAGTAACGATTGCACCCTTCCAGTCCATAGGTAACTCACCCGGGTCAAGTGACATTTTCAATATCATAATCAGTGGTGTTGCAATAAATTGTGCAATTCGCTTCAGAATTTTAGAGTGTAGTTCATCCAATCCTGTTGATTTTTTCATGTCTATAGTGCATAGTGTCGATCAAAGTCTATAGTGAGCAGCCGATTTCATCACTTTGAATTTGGGTTTAATCCTTTATCTGGAAGTGGATCCTGGGTACAAACTGTCCGGAATGGTCACTGATTTGTCCTGGTCTTCCTCTGCAAATTGAGATCCACCCTCTCCCGTAATTAGGTTTGGAATCCACTAATGGGTTCCTGTTCTGTAAATCATTTACGAGAACTGTCTCTTCCGCTGTATGACTACAGATTAGGCCAACTGCTTTTTATATTTTTCCTGAGCTGCCCGGATGGTACTAATAAATTCATCAAACATAGCTGAGTCATTCGCTCGACTTATACGACTCTGTTACGAGGAAAACTAATGGTAAGATGCCAGCAGTTAACAGGCGGGATCTGACATCGCGGTGGAAAGGCGTGAACACGGCTTTCAAAAAAGTGAAACCCGTTCCTATTTTAGATGTTTGGAATCTAGAGGAGAAGACAATGACCCTGCTAAAAGACAGGGATACGATCTCGGTTAATGGGTTGAAAGTGAGACCCAAACAAGAAGAATCTTGAAGCTGGTTCTCGGGAATTTTGAAGAAAGAGATATAATATTGAATATCGCACACAAAACTCGTGACTCAGATATTCGTATCCGACCAGATTGACAGCCTGAAGATCGAATCAAGTGGGAAACGCTGTAACGGAGTTAAGAAATCCAAACCTAAATGGCGAAACGATCCTTACGATTAAGGGTTTTCGGGTAGTCAGGTCTTGAAGGCCAATGCTTCCGAGGCCTGTATTAGTAGAACGAATGATTCCCAAAACACCTTAAGTGTGTGCTACACGAACGCCCGTAGTCTTAGAAATCAAACTTCCGAGCCAAGTCTGATGGTGGATGAATTAAGTCACGATATAATCGTTGTTACATAAACTTGGTTCACCGTAGATATATGATGTTCTACCATCACTGCAGGCTATATCTGTATTAGAAGTAACAGATTTTTAAGTCGCAATGGGGGAGGGATAATTTTATACGTAAGGGATCACTTTTACACACAATCAGTCATATCGGAGGCGCATGTTAGTGGTACTTGTGAGGTAGCATGTTGTAAAATTGAATCTAGAAATGGGTTAGTGACTATAGGAGGAATATACCATAGTCCGTGTTGTCTTGCTAACGATTTTATCTTAAGACATATCTGTTCTTGGAGTAAGGCAGAATGCTGTTTCATCATTGGAGACTTCAACACACCACATATCGATTGGATAGAGCTTACATCTCCTAATGGTGATTTTGATAGCAACATTTTATCAACCATTATTCAGTGTGCACTTGTACAATGTATCGCAAAACCGACACATACTGACTTGAAACATGGTCCGTCGCTTCTGGAACCTGCCCTCACCCACAACTGTGAGGATGTATTTGTAGGATCCAAACTACGGTTTAGATGTAGAAGAATAGCCTACCGGGGACTTTAGACACGCGCCCTTTCCCGTCGAAATCAGAACAAGTAATCGGGTAACTAGCGGTTCTATAATTCATAATAAATTTAATATAAATCATTACATAAACAAATATTATCACCCGGCTATTCAACCAATGATTGTTCAATCAATTAAATCTAAATTACAATAAATAAAGAAGTTGATAGAAGATGAGGAAAAATTACCAATCACAACAAATGAACGTTATTAATAATAATAATTTATTCTCAAATAACATTTTGTTACATGAGGCATGCCAGTTTACAGGCAAGATCAAATTGATACAAATGATACAATATACACTGTATTAAATTAAATAGCTGGGTTGAAAATTTATTAGACATGAATGTAGATTGTTTTAATCAGTACCATAGTTGGCGCGCTTCACGAGAGTTGCGTTGCGAATGTGCGACTGATGGTCAAGAATAGGTCCATTGAAGGTATGAGCTTCTAGAAATCGCAACCTTATGTCCCTTTGGGATATCCAAGGCTTTAAGGATGGTGCAGGATGAAGTAACCTGTTCCATATCTCACGGGGGCTGACTGGATAGATCACACACAACAGGAGGAACAAATCAATATGGCTACCGCCAAGAACAAGTGTCAAGTGAAACAACGCAGATGCAGTTCAGGAAGAAACACAAACTTAGTGAATGCGTAATAAAAACAAAAACTATAACAAAAATACAAATATTAACAATTCAAATGTAATCAAAATACAACAATGTACAACTAATGTGATCAATAGGAATAAAGTACAAGTATATACATGGAGGGATTTTCACCAACACATAAAACCTTCAAAATGGGTCTTACAGTATTTGATATACAGCACCTTCTACCACTAGTGAACGGTGATCACATTGTACTTTACTTCAAATTTAGGACATATGGTATACGATTTGTATCTGCTCCACCCTGTCCCAATGTCTGGCGAGCCAATATTCCGGCAGTCAGAGACTTTTCTATCTCTACTGATTGGTCGGTCGACGCGGATGCATCGATCGAAGATGAATGGAATAAGTTTAAGGCTGCATTCGAGTCCGTAGCGTCACTGTTTATCCCATGGTCAGTACGTAAGTTATCACATCCCCTCCATGGAATAACAGGGAACCTGGAAACTGTTAAAGCGTAGAAAGCACTTCTAGCACTTATTTTTGTTGACAGGTAACGCATCGTTTAAGCGTCAGTACCGAAAATTCCGGAATATTTGTAAGAAAACCATAACTAAGTCCCGTACTACTTACGAACGGCAGTTGGTATATTATAGCCGTACTTGTCTGAAACGATTGTTTTCGTATGTTAAACGGCGAATAAAACGTAGTAATGGTATTCACCCGTTACTGGCACACGAAAATTCAGATTTACTAGCTGAATCATATCGGGCAAAACCTAATACATTTTCAAGCTATTTTAGCCAAGTGTACTCTACGCGTATTGTTACAAATACTTGTCCCAATCACACCGACATACCAGACATAAGATCTGTGCATGTGACTGAGGAAACTGTTCTTCCATTGATAACTAACACCAAACCCTGAAAGATACCGGGCCCTGACGGGTTACATCTACGGCTGCTGTCATCTCTTGCAGAAATTATTTAAGGATCGCTCGTGAAGCTCTTGAACATGTCCCTTTCACTCGCTCAACTCCATAGAGATTGGAAAGACGCTGTGGTCAGTCCTGTATTTAAGAATGATCAGAGATAGGTCGTGTCTAACTACTGGCCTGTCAGTCTAACCATCATAGTCGTTACTTGAAAAGAAGATTCGGGTGAAGTTACTAAGTCACATAGATTCACACAGTCTGTTAACACCTGAGCAACATGGGTTTTGTGACAAGCGTTCATGCTTGACCAACTTACTGATTGCGTGAGAGGACTGTATGTCGATGTGATATTCATAGATTTTAGCAAATCGTTTGACAAGGTTTCACACTCATGTTTTATGAAGAAGCCCTGGAGCTCCGGAACTATAGGTGCTGTACAGGAATGGATGGGAAACTTCTAATGTGAACGCAGACAAAGGGTGAGGGTCAATGGAACGCTATCCGAATAAAAGCCGGTCAAAAGTGGTGTACTCCAAGGCACCATCTTAGGCCCTCTACTTTTCCTTCTGTATGTTAACGAATTACCGATAGGGCTTAAGTCGTCGGCATTATTGTTTACGGATGATGTCAAGATCTGGAGAACAATAGGAAGTGAGGCTGAACATTTTGATCTCCAAGCTGACTTAGATGAATCAGTTAGATGGGCTCGAAGTTGGGGCTTAGAATGTAATTCTAGGAAGAGTGTGTTCATGCACATAGGACACGGCAATATTTACCTTTATACTAATGACGGTACGTCACTTCCACGCGTTCAAGAACATAAAGACTTAGGAGTAAGAATAAATCATAACTTGGAAACAACTACGCATTGCAACGCAACTGCTGCCAAAGGTTATTGTGCGTTATGGTCACTTCGCCGAGCATTCAGATACTTTGACGACGAAATGTTTCAAATTTTATATCCCAACTATGTTAGACCACACTTAGAGTAATGTATCCAAGCAGCTAACCTATGTCTAATAAAGGATACTAACTTACTTGAGCGTGTTCAGCGTGTGGGAACAAACTCCTTTATGATGAGCGCTTGAAACGCCTAAAACTTTTCCCCTTGTCGTATCGTATGATACGAGGTTACCTTATACTGGCACTCCGTATTCTTAATTATGATTTAGGTGTTAATATGTCTTATATTTTTGCTCCCCCCAGCACTAATAGTCTCCGAGGTCATAGCAAGAAAGTCCACAAACCGCGATCTAAACTTAAAGTGGGGTCCCGCTTTTCTCATCGAGAAGTCAATGACTGGAACGCCTTAATCGAACAAGTGGTATCAGCCCCATCAGTGAGTATTTCGAAGGAGAAGCTGAACCGAACCAATCACAATTGCGATTGCTAACTTGAACATTGGGAGTGAAATTCAAAGGTATTCGGAATTGTACACTATTAACGTCTTGTCTTGAATATCAGATTATGTCAAGCTAACGTTTGAGTTATCATTAATTATTGTCAGTCACTTTCATTATTGAACGTAAGTGCTTACCAGTAAGCTCTTTTCTTTTCCAGACTCTCATACTACTCCTCACACCTCAGCACATATGCGTATATTCAAGTTAGATAAAACCTCCCAGAGTGAAGGATACATCTGTTGTAAGATTTACGTGGTATATACGCTGGATATGGTGAAATATGCAGTCAGTGACGCTTGTATCTTAGCGATCCACGACTCATTTGACTCCCATGCAAAACATATTATAAATAGTTATTTATAATATGTTTTGCATGGGAGTGCTTTAAAGCACCGAATGTTATGTATTATAATGTTGGGAATTAGTGGGACTAATTTGTACAGAGCGTCAGTGCATACCTTGGAAATTTCTTAGAATAACTGTGAATCATTTTTTCATCTCCTCTTAAAATCATGGGGTCTATTATAGTCTGGTGGTTTTGCGTTCAGCATCAAATGCATCCATATCAATTCAGATAGTGTGAATGGATTTGGTCGGAATAGAAGTTTTCTAACTAGGCTCCATTTGACTCCATCTGACGTACGAATGTCCCCTCTACGTTTCGTATCGAAGTTGAACTCAGGTAATTGCTACAGGGAATGCTAAATGAGATTTTGTGATTTTAGTCACTCTGAGGTCGCGTTTCAGTATTATTTATTTCAAGAGGTATTGACGCAGTATTTTTAAACTTTGAATACTTTCCAAATGAACCTTTTTGTTGAAAGAGAAAACATCATTCTTTTGTTGAGGCTGCATAGAACTGTAAAATTACGTGAAAACGCTTGCCATCTAAGCGGCAAAAATACTCATCAAAGTTGCTAGTGAAAGGTTGGCTCTGACGGCATTTTCATCAAAGTTAACATACAATTCTAGATCACAAGGAACCAAGACACTTAAATCGTTTCCTGTTAATGAATATTAATAAAGAATTATTTGTTGTACGTGTGTTTTACATTATCCCACTAATGGACTACCCCTCAGAGTTAGATGTTGATTCATTCTTATTTCATTCTCGAAGTCGAGTTGGATATTACTGCAGCGCTAATCTATCTTGGTTTTAGACCTCTTTCCAAAACATTAAATCACCTGCAAAAAGTTTTTCATTAAATTTTATTTTATGTAGTGTTTAGTTCGTTCAAAACTAAGGCGCCTCCACGTTACTTATACTAATATCAGTCTTGTTGATCCTAATGAAGAATCCTGTCTTTTCTTGATTTAGATTATTGACAAATTGCTTAATAGACTGCCAGTATGACCTGCCGAAAATGACGCCTAGCTTAGCTCTCTATGGATCTTCTGTTAGCTCTGGTTTACAAAGATATGGTGTAAAGTTGTTATAAGAAGTTTTGCTAAGGAGAAATGGCACACTATGAAACTTTATGACAGGTCCAGTTCTCCAAAGCAGCATGTGTTGTACCAGCTTTTAAAATCTTTTAGTAAATCAATAAATTCTCAGAGGTCCTTTACTTTTAGAGATCTCGATTTTTGGGTGGACTTGGACGTTAAGGCTTTTCGGAAGTCCGTGCTCATTCTAATCAGCAATCAAGTTCAACTTTGTACTTTGGCTTTAATCTACACTGTTTAAGGTAATATTCATAACCGCTGCATAAACTGAAGTAAAGCTAAGTTCATATTTGGAACCTGGTGGTTGAACGTCAGGCGTTTTCAATCCCCTTCATATTTGCTAAAGGCATAATGATCCTAAGACTTATTCAACTATGTACTGTCAGGTATTAGGGATGGATCATTTGGATCTGATTACTACTTTACCTGTTTAGAACTACGTATTTTCTCTGGTGAGTTAGTCATAATAATTTGTAGAATCCCAATTTTCCTATTTTATAGAAGATTTTGTCCGTTTTGCGTAAATTTTGGGGAAACTGCAATAAAAAACTTTGAGGAAACGACACAAAAACCCTAAAATTTCCTGAGGTCTGGGAAAAATCCCCAAAATGTTTGAGGAAATTTAGGGTTTTCCTCAATGTTTTCACAGAATCTTATAACACTTGGGTTTTTCCCTAAAATTTGGAGAAAAGTACCATATTCCTTACGACTTCGGGGAAAACCCCAAAATAGGGGGATTGGGATATTATCAACCAAGTCGCAATCCACAACCACCACAATGTATGAAAGCTGGCTTCCTTCTGCATACATTTTGCTACTTAAAATTTGAAAGTGACTGTGTGAGGAGTTTGTGCGAGCATCCCATTCGACGGAGAAAAATTCCGCGGTAGACTGTATCGACTGGATCACATGAGTTAGTAACCAAGTTGCTAGCAACGACAGTGTGCGTAATAAACTGAACAAGATGATATGCTTGGTTGAATCTGAACGTATGTGAGTCGGCAGCTCACCCCTTGAAAAGAAATCTTTTTATGCATCTAAAGAGGTTGGATGGGTGACCTTGACGGCTTTGGAACGTGACTGACTCAACGAAATAGCTACTTGAGGTCGGTTACATACTATCTTAGTTGTGGCAGCTGTTAGATATGTTAGCTCTGTACTTTTAAACCATTGGCACCTGCACCATAAATCTCTATGGAGGGGTGTGTTGCTCAATTTTTTCAGTCGACATTCTTAACCCCATTATATTTTAGTAATTCAAAATCATTGGATATGCCAGTCATTCGCTAAAAACACTGCTTCTGGTTAGATTCCAGTATAGTTTTCAGTAAGAGATTGCCATCAGACTTTAGGTTATATGTTTTTGATCTTCCTGGTATTCGACCGACCTATCCGGCATACTAAAACCGGAAGGAACAATTGTTTAAGCTTATGTAACCTAATCGTGCCATCACGGTAGATTAGTTCAACCACCAAGTTAAAACAGCAGTCACGTTTGGAAACCACCAATGAGGACCTCTGGCATCTTGTATTTTTAATCACTTTCTTCTCATGGTTACCCGGTAGACATAAATTGGTCAGTTTTTTATTATGGAATTTTCTTGTAATTTAGCATTTCTGAACTATTGTATTAAAGAGAATAAATAAGTCAAGATATCCTTAGTAGATGTTAATGACAGCTATCTATTAGCACTAACCTAACTTGTAATAAATCACCCTAGTTTTGTTTGATCATTTGGAATAAACATTAAAGATTGTTTTTCTGGTATAGGTATATCAAGTTAAAAATTTATTTACTTCCGTGCTTTATAAATATTTACTTTTTTCTTAAATTCTAGTTTCGGCTCATGGAAAAACCACCTCTCAGCAGCTCTTCGTTGGGATTTCCAATAGGCGTAATACAAATTCCGGTGTCATTGTCCGGTCTTACTGAAGTGGATGTTAATGGTTTACCTAGATTACCCGTGTCAGTGACATGCTATGCAAGGTTTCGTCGGTTATTACATATCAAACATCATAACTTGTGTCAGTATCTCGATGTTGTCAGAGAGAAGGGAGAAATACTATCAGTTGTCTGTGAGTACTACAGCACAAGTTTTTCTAACTTCAGTGGTCCCGTCACTGACGTTAATTGGTTATCACAACGCTTTAGTGAATGTCTATCTGCCTTATCTTTTATGAGTGACAATGGTTTAGTGCACTGTTGTTTGACTCCTGATATGATTATGCTTGATTCTGGTGGACGTGTAAAAATTGGAGGCTACGGAATTTATTATGCTACAGATTGGGGAAGTATAGCTGATTTTACCTTCCCCAGTCTCATGTATTCTGCTCCTGAGGTATTTTTATTTTTATACAATCAAGCCAATAATTCATGTCAACCAGAACGTTCAACAAAATCTGATATGTGCTGGACAAATATAAAAGCAGACGTATGGTCTTTAGGCGTCATATTTTTTGAGACAATATTTGGTAGGGAATTCACTAATCCATTACTTAAACTTCGGAGTGAAAATATGAAAGAAGCTGAAATAATTTCCTTGTATCTAAGGGGTCTTTGTCAGGCGAATGAATATCCAACATTACCTGAATTTTTACAACTTCATCTGAATGTTATATCTGCTGACCTGGACATCTTGGTTCAGCTTATTCAATGTTGCTTAAAGTTCGATGCAGTAAAGCGACCTAATCCTAAATGTCTTATGAAGGAGATCAACGAATTACTGAAAACTGATTCTTACATATCTTCCGATATAAGTGGTGACAAATATTCAATTTCCTGGTGTAGGGTGAGTTTACTCTCTTTATGTAAAGAATACTTGCTTATGCGGATTTTTGGTAGCTTTCCAGTCTGTGTCGTGAACCAGTTAAATTCGTTTCATTTCAATAAGAATGCAGATTAAGGCATTTTTGTTTATTAAGTTATTATAAGATATTATGTATAAAATTATGTTATAGAACAATGTCGCTACCCAAATTTTGTTGAAAAGATATTAAAAACCCAATGTTTTTAATCACTGAAATGAAATAGTCATCTTACTCATCTTCAAAAAGAGATTGCATAATTCATGTGCAAATCCCCAGTGTTACCAGTTGTGCACAAATTATTTACTTGAGTAGAATAGTGAAGTCCATGTACCTACGTACAGAGTTAGGTCCCAACTGCTGGCCATCATTAATAGGTTTGGCAAAGTTTGCATAACATAAAGGGCATTAATTAGTCATACCTAGCATGAATGTACGTCGAACCAAGCTCTCACAATTCATATTTACAAAGTGTAAGAGGAAATTAGTAAGATTGAAAACAACAGAATCAAAATAATATCAGTGTTAGTATTGTTTTGTAACTAAATATAGAAAATATATTTCAAGATTTGTGAATGGAATAAAGAAATAAGAAGGGAACTCAGGATTTTATCGAAGAGGAATAATCAATCCATTGATGCCTCTGCAATCTGTCTCGGAGCATATCACGTAGGGTTTACAACTATAGGTTATAATTATTTCATGGGCGCTAACCAGGATGTTCACATCCCACAACTTGGCTTAGTCCAATAGTGAGTGACCTTACTGACTGATCTAATGCCGTAGTCTGGCCTCCCACAATTTCACAACAGTTCATGAAATCAGGGAATACTATACTGAACTGTGTCATTAGGTGTAAACTCTGCATGTTATTGGGATCTTCATTCCAGTGCTGTTTGCGTATTCCAAGTCGATAAGAGGATCTCTTAGGAAATACTCAATCCATGAGGAATATTCATAACAGTTGAATAAAAGTGTAGACAGTACATAATCTTAATGATGAGCTTCGAAAGGTAAATTACTGTAAGGTGTGTTCTGACACTAATTATTTGAGTAGTTTGATTTACTTGTTTGACACCTACTTCAGTGACAAGTGCTGTCATCAACTCTGTAGGTCAACATTTAAATACAGTTCATAGGTCCATTATGGGTGAAATTTAACGACAATAATTGTTGGTGTCTCAAAATATGGCAAAAGATAGAGTTGTTTGACTAACTAGAGCAGGTCTTAAACTAAACCTAATTAACTTCGTATTTGTGATTCTAAATAGTAGTGGGTTTCATATGTTTATGGAAGTGGAGATTTTAAAATTATGGTTCTTTTGTGATTGTCAAAATAAGACTTTTTTTTCCTTGTCCTATGAAAAAAATCACTAATTTAGACTAATCAGTTTAATTAATAGTTCTGAACCACTATCTTCAAAGATAACTAAAGTTAACCTACCAAATTTACGTACTTCTTACTTCAATTACTAAAAGTGTGATGTTACAAACTCACTGCCTTTCCCGTCTCTCTTCATTTTTTTCCCATCACTTCTCAGCAATCATGAACTTGATTACCTACAGTTGAGCCACTTTTGCTTTTTTTTCTGTTTGTAGCTCTTTTTGGGAATAATAACAAGAGACCTTTCATAAAGTTGTAAGAGAGAGGCCATAAGACATCTTTTTTTAAATACTAATGGTAATACATGACCGTATTCATAGACCTAAGAAAATTGTTTGAAATTATATCATAACATTAATTCTTATAAAGCACAAATAACTAGTAATCACACCAGTAGCTGTTTATTGCTGCTTATTATTATAATCGTAATATAGCTCATTTTTTAACTGGTATATTTTTTCAGCAGAAGTATATTACAAGGCCAAGTCAATGCATCATATACTTCATTAAATAAAAGAAGTTGCAAAAAATCCATTTGTTATAGATTGGATTTGAACGCTTTAGATTCCAATGAATAACAAAATTTAGGGTATCTTCGTAAATAATCAAAATGACCAAACTCGTTTAATCTAAGTAGAGATCGTTATTGTCGATTAGATTGTTTTTGCATAAGTTATGCATATTGTTATTTGATAATCAAGGCATATTCTTTAGTATTTGAGTGCTATTTGCATGTAAGTACTGTTCAAAATGAGACAATGAACGTGTGTTTGTTTACTGTTAATTACTATCAAAGACCATGCTACCTAACATATCTATTTTCAAAGAACAAATACCTTTATGAATCCCATCAGTAATCATTATTTTTTCCTATTACATAGAAAATATATAATCAACCCAAGAAACGTGAATTTCATCCTCAATTATTCAGTTTGGAAGATAACAAAAATAATATTTTAAAAGCTTATAATTTTATTAACAGTATTGAAAATTTATCAGAACTTTATTACTATTGGATGTTAACCGGTGGTAAAATTCATGCTACATTAAAAGGTCATACAGATTCAAAAAGTATTATTGATAATTATCATCATAACAGTTTCAAGCAAGAATCAATAAAAGAAAAAGAAACATTAATTGGCGCGAATTCTCAATGTTTATTACCTCCAGTCTTGAGAATTCCACATTATCTTGCTTTAGTACAATCAAATGCTACACGTGCAATAGCTTCAAAAGAACAATGGCCGCTAGGTGAAATTCCACAGCCACGTACGTAAGTGCCGTTCTCGTTTTTTTTCACATAATTAATCTCACTCCATATATATATATCGCGATATAAAGCGATCATCTCGGTTATTAACAATCTTTTACATCAGACATAGTCTAACTTTACTGGTTACGGCTTCCCACTAAAACTCCGGGAATCACAACTGTCCTATGCTTACTTTTCAGTGGTTGTATAACTAAGATTAGTCGTTGATACAAACTATAATATTCAAGAATCGTCACAAACCCTGCTTTACTGATAATTGTCAAATTATTTTGCTTTCTTTCATGTCTCTACGTTTTTAGATTTCAGTTCCAAATTACACCACTTTCCAATGAATGTTTTATTGAACGTATATCGCATACATCTCTTCATCATTTATATCCCCTATTTATTTATCAAGATTTAAAAATTAGTTCCACAGGAAATTCAAATGTTTATTCTGCCTTGTACTCAGTTAATAATAATAGTACTAATCATATTAATACTTCATCTAACAGTTTAATACCAAATGAATATACACGTATGATTCTTAATTCACCCTTGTTTGAAGTGACTGAGAAACTTTCAGATTTTTTAGATTCATTATGCAAAAATGATTTAACCTGTATTACCGGTGTTGATTGGAGTATGTCATTTACAAATAATCAGTATGAATCAATATCACAACAACCATTATCAGTTAGAGAAACTGATGTAGATTATCAAATTTATCGCACACGTTTGTTTACGCGAATAATCAATGGACTACCCGCAACTAAACAATATCTTCGTTTAGAAGCACGTAAAGATATACCACCATTTTTACGTTGGAAGGTAAGATTATATTAAAAGTGTGGTTTTTATTCGTACTATGGAAAACTCATCAGTTAGACTTGCGCAACAGAGAACCTAGGACATGTATGCATCAGTTAAAGTTTCCACACTGCTATGTTTGAAGCGATTATCAGTTCACCTAGTCTGCGAACGGAACAAAGACTGTGACCAAAGACCAATAAGCTAACTATTCTGATGCGTCCCAGCTGCGCTAACTAGGGAGAGAAGTCCAAGTTCGAAACGGGGAAATATATTTCTCAAGCAGCCAAAAGCACAAGCAATGACGACAAGTCTAGTCAGAAATATACTCATTTACATATTGATTCATACACCCATTTTTGATTAATAATCAGAATAAACCACATATATGAAAAATACTTCATATAAGAATATCGTATGTTATGCAGAATAAAATGTCTTAGGAGAAAACGAAACATACTATACCGAGTGGTCATCAAATTGAATTAAACGGGATTAATGTTGAATAAAAATCATAATGAGTAAATTAATCTAATTTTGACTTTTCATCCCGTCATAAACCACATTAGCACAGCAGTGTGAAATTATCAGGACAAATGTTAAGGTAGTAAAAGTAGTAAGAGTGTAGTGAACAGAACACGGGTGGGGACAGTCGAATGTACGTGGCACAAAATTACAGTTACTCGGTAAAATAGAAAAACCATATAGTAAAACGTTAATTTGCAAAATATTAATCCATCATGTCAAACCGAACTGTTCCTGTTGCAAACATCAATCCATTGTCTCACATTTCATTGTTCATGCGTTTTCTTACAAATTGCACTGTGTTCCCGCTCTTCCTTTCTTGATCTTCCCCCATCTTCTGCTGCCAGACATTATGTTTTTAACTCGCGTCACATACTACTTATATCAATATAAATAGCACGCACCACAAGAGTACTGGTGATCGTTTTAAGGATTAGGCATGATGAGAACGATCAGGAGAAGGAAAAATGACTTTGCAGTATAAAGAATTAAAAGATAATTTCAAATCTCAAGATCTAACGGACTGCAAAGAATGTAACATTAAACAGTTCCCGTATAGTATACTATAATATCGGTTTTCTTCATAATTAATGATTATTTAAATAGGAGTTGAATGTTGGTTGACACTTCAACATTGTTACTCATCGTTCGTTCAAAGTTCCCCTCTATGTAGTTGCTAGACATTAACAACCATCCCAAAAGTCTCGTTGTTTGATCACTGAGCAGCAACCAATGTCAGTCTTTAGTGTTGATCAAACTCTATCGACCATGTTGTAATGTAACCACTAGTCCAATTAACTCGACGTTGGGTGCACTATATTTTTATATAAGTTGCTGGTTGGAAACAGTCAGCAAGATAACTTGGACCTAGTTCTCCTGCTAGTTAGCACTCGTAAACAAGGCAGATCTGGAATCTTAAGGGAACTGATGCTTCGTGTTGAACTAGTACGTGTGTTAATCGTTGACACAACTTGAGGTTTTGTAATGAGTCTTCCTGTTGATTGACTCCAAACACTGATATGATGGTGAAGATCATAATTAATTGGAGAGTAAACGACCACCTACAACATTGATTTGCTTTAGCTATATTTTTTGTCACTATTTTGTATATAATCATGTTATTTCCTTACAAAAGAAACCCTTCTCTGCCTTGGTGGTCTTGCCGTTGATCTCAAATCATACGGGAACCTACATTAATAATTTGTTCTCGCAAGGAGCCATCACTCAGTCACATCATTTCATGTCGTTTGCTTATCGCTATTCTTTCCCATTTGAACAAAAAAATTCGTTCATAAAAATTTACTTCAGAACAGTCTCAAACTTAAGTCAATGCTGAAAGCATTTGATTCGTTACCTTGTGTCTACTAACTAGAACTCTCATGAGAAATTAAAATAGTTGTACTGTATAGCTCCAGTTTCTGTACTCTGAAAAGTATATCGAATTTGTGATGCTGTCGTTAGTTCAGATAATTCTTTAGATCCTAGTGCGTTATAAGAATGACCTTAACATAATTTAAAATCATCCTCTTATTTCGAGAGTTGAGATTTTTATTTATCGATTGTTCAAGGTCTATGAAGTTCCCGATTCGTTCATTTATATACAATGTGTTTAAATACAGTAATATATCAGTGACTTTGTCATTAAATCTTTTTTTTCAAATTACCAGACTGAAACATTCAATTGTATATTTGTAGTTTTTACGTTCAAAACTTAAATAGCTTGTCAGTGTCAGGAGAGTCGGAACAACAAGAAATACTTTGGGAAATTTTGTTGTAGCCTATCAATTCTGAGTTGTCACAATTCGTAATTATGTCATACAAATATTTAAATGAAATTAAAAACGAAAATGTTATTATGATTGACTTGGTGCTGAGAACTTACTGTAACAAAATTTACAGTATTTAGTAAAGCAGTCATTATTATTAAACTAGTATGACAACTAAACATTGACAGCTGCACCGTCTATATGGTCCAGTGCATAATCGAAATGGGTTGATATAATAAATTCTACCATTCAAATCATAGTGGTATAAATACTTGGCAGACATTGAACGTGTTATTGACTCACCTCATATTTGAACGAGACCAGTTTATTCGTGATGGATCAACGATATCGTAAGCTGATTTATTCCCTCAAATATAATTTATGTATTTCACGTTCTTAGTCTACTCATTTTACCTAGTCTAAACGTTTGGCTTCATTGTTCACACTCTGTATTTTACGTTATTTACACATCTTATGCCTACCAGTAGTTATCACTTGATGTTTGTCGAATTCCTACCTTGTCCAGTTTATCTTACTGAATTGTTCCTGAAGTTCGCTTATTTGTCGAACTAGTCACTGGATTTTCTCTAACAACTAAAACCAAGGTTTTCTCTGTACCAACTTCATATTGCATTTCCTAGGTTTGGGCTGCTTTACTCGACGTTTATCCCAATCGGGATTTCGAATCAGCTTACCTGAAGGCATTGCATAGAATCAACAAGTTTGGCTTGGACGTAACACCTATAAATGAATTAAATAATAATAATAATAATAATAATAATAATAATAATAATAATAATAATAATAATAACCTTAGTTGTGATCTCTTAGATGAAAAAGTCATTAATCAAATATCAGTTGATTTACCACGTTGTCATGCTTATGATCCATTGTTGGCATCATCTATTGGGCAATCTGTACTTCGTCGTGTCCTACTAGCGACTTTATTAATGAAACCTGGTGCATTGGATTATACTCAGGTAAATGAAATTCTTAATAGTATGACATTTTAAATGTATGTGTGTGGTGATTTTGTTTTAGCATTTCAGATACTCAGTTTACACTTCAATTTGTTGGCTCATTTTTCTAAAAAGGTGCATTGAACATGTTAATTAAAAACTTTCATTTTTAAACCGTTGATTATGTTAATATTACATGAATATTTGAATTTAAGATAGCAGGAGAATAAGGATAGAGTACAAGACAACTATATCTATATAACGTACTCTGAAAATAATTCGTCAGTTTCCTACTGTATTGTTGATTACCTCTAGTTCTTAATTCTTTTTTTACTTAAAATAATGAACCATCTCTCTTACATTGATAGGTTTATTTGTCTGGTTCAATATGACCGAGTAACTATTTAATAAGGCGTAAATTTTTGCTTCATGGTTAAGGTATTCGACTTTCAACAACTCAGTCATGTTCAAATCACACCACTTACTTTTTTTCCTTCATTTTTTGCATACATCGTTCTTTCACATGGTATTTTCAAAGTTAGGTTTAATCCAACTATACCGTCATAACATATTTAATTGGTCAATTGTTTGTTACTTTTTAATAGTTGAGATCATGAGTCAATTAAAGCTGGACGACCATGGAAAACCTGGAAACACTGGACGGCCGTTTCGTCCTATTTTGGGACTCCCCAGCAGTGCGCATCCACAATCCCGCCTCGTGAGACCCGAACCCAGGACCCACCGATCTCGCGAAGCGGGATTGTGGATGCGCACTGCTGGGGAGTCCCAAAATAGGACGAAACGGCCGTCCAGGGTTTCCAGGTTTTCCATGGTCATCCAGCTTCAATTGATTCATGATCTTAACTATTATAAAGTACTATAATATTCACAAAATACCCTTCTGAAATTGTTTATTAGTTACATTCATCCCTAAGCGATCATTTAAAAGATTAAAACTTGATAAGCTGATCAATCTTGTGTATTCCTATACGTTATTGGGCTACAGTTGTACAAGTTAATTTTTACTTATTAGTATAAACATTATACGTATTCACAGTGAATCTAAAATACTATTAGTGTCAGTCAAAAACCATTTAACGAAATCACAAAAATAATGACAAAACAGCAGACAGAAGTAGTGGAACAAACTAGACAAAGTGTACGAGTAAGCTCAATGTATATATATTCAAATTTTGAATGAACAAGAGAAGTGGATATTTCATTGTGATTTTAACTGGTTCATTTTGCAACATGCTATATAGTAGTCTTGGAAGATTCATTTATTAACTCTCGGGAAGTTGTGTCAGGAACCGCATAGTCTCGGATGTCTGGAAACAGGAGTTGTTAGCATAATAAACTGGGACATTTCGGTAGTCTAATTTTGTTTCCATCTCAATTCAGTAATAGAGATGGCAATTGAATTTGTGTGGTCTCCGTTTTTCAAGCCTCTAGATGATTTAGTTAGTTAAATGAATAAACGTGAAGTCGTGTATGATAGGTGGCCGGTGGGGCGAATATTTCTGAAGATTGCTATGGAAAGTTGGTGTTGAAAACTTATCTAACCTAGCTCAAGCGGTAATCCGATAGGAATACTCATACATTAACATTATGATTTATTAGGACTATCGAACAAGATCGATTAGGCGTGCAACTATTACGTATAAGTATACCGACAGTGTTCTTGGAAATAAGGTGATAGAAAGCTTACTAGTACAATACCAAGCTAATGAGAAAGAGCATTTTTAACAACGGTGGAAATGAAAGGGTTCGAACCTGCGACTTAGTAGCTGAAAGTCAGATGTCGTCAATACTTTGCCACTGCTCCACACGTTCCGTAATTTATCATTCAATCTGATTACATTTTTAAAAACAGTTTTGAACACTGTTCATTCATACTGTTTATTATATCTCGTGTCTATTCACGGCTCTCGGTAATTTCTAGGGTATGGATTCTGTAGCTGCTGTATTTGTGCGTATATGTTATCCAGATGAAGCATTGGCTGCTGCTTGTTTAAATGCTTTTTTGTCAACAAAGCTACCGGGATTTTTCTCTTCTGGTGGTCTTACTGTTGGTTTAAAATCGTATTTCAATACACTTCTACGGTTGTTAGCATTTCATGTACCTCGACTAGCTATTCGATTGGTTGATATTAATGTGCCTTTGATTGGATTGACTACCGGTTGGATTTATACGTTATTTGCCCATGCTATGCCATTGGATCGTATAGAATTACTATGGGATACAATAATTCCTGGTCCAGCTTCATTGTCAATGTTTTTCTACATTGCATTTTTTATTCAGTTAGACAGACAAATCAATCTTGAGGTAATTTTTTTTATTAATCAGGTTAATTAGTTGTATAACAGTTAACTTTGAATAAGATTTGATTTTCATGTTTGTTTTTGTTGATCAACTATCGAAATCCTAAATCAGCTTTCAGCTAAAGAGATTTTGTGGAGATTGGTACAATTTTTTATGTTGTACTCGTCACAAATTGATCTCAGTCGAGGTACCATTTGAAATCAGAGAGTAACAAACAGCTATTTTTTCCTAGCATATGACTCAACCATACACACATGACTATGCTCATCCTGAGGTTGAGTTTTTAGAACTATTCACTATCGGGTTAATTGAAAGTATTTAATTTAATTTATGTGCAGTTAATTGATGCAAGATTTATTTCTTTATCACATACAATCTTGGAGGAATCAAATTTATAAATTGCACAGACTTGTTTGATAGCATAATATTTTTTAAAATGTGATTTGTTTATTGCTACAAAATACTTCACTTGCCTGATGAAATAATCAAAAGTAAAGTTTGGAAACAAATCAGGTTTTATTGACATGACTAGAGGCTAGGACAGAAGACTATAACAATCATGTGATGGACCATTTGTGTGTACTTCCTCAATATTTCTGTTCATCAAATAGTTTGTTCAAGGTCAGTAGTAGGATGACAAAAATGTGGTAAAACAAAATTAGCCTACTGAGCATTAAATTCAGTCATTCAGTTAAGTTATAATGCAAGATCTAAGCACATAAGTACATCAGCCCAAGATCCCATTCCACGTCAGGACGATAATATGAAATTTACAGGGATTGAAGTAACATTAGGATTAGTGATAGATTTACAAAAATTAAACATTAAGAATATTGTTCGAAAGGAAGTAATAAGAAGGTGTGTAAGGAAGGATGTTGGAACTCAATATTTAGTAGAAAATAAAGTGCAAATGCATCTGTACTACTACAATTAATCCTTGGTTTAAGATTAGCAACACTGGTGTTTTTTCACAGTCCATGTACATGTTTAATCTCATTTTATCCCATGCATAGCAACGAATGCAGTTGACGATAGTCGATATAGCAGTAGGCCTCAACATTCACAAAGGAAAAAGCAAGATCCTCAAATACAACAGAGCGAATACGAACCCAATCACACTTGATGGATGGAGAAGCTCTGGAATGGGTGGAAACTTTTACTTTCCGGGACAGCATCACTGATAAACAAGGGGATCTGATGCCGATGTGAAGAAATAGATTTACAAAGCAAGGGAAGCATTTCTGCAGTTGAAGAACATATGAAATTCAAAACAACTGTCAGTCAAAATCAAAATCTCCAATACGAGTGTCAAGACAGTTCTGTTGTATGGAACTGAAACTTGGAGAACTGCCACAACCATCATCAAAAAAGTACAGGTATTTATAAACAATTGTCTATGCAAAGTACTCAGTGTCCGTCGGTTAGATATCATCAGCAACAGCCCACTGTTAGAAAGAAAAAACCAGCTTCCATCTGAAGAGGAAATCAGTAAAAGATGCTGGATTTTAATAGGACACATTGTGGAAATCAAACTGCATTGAGAGGTGAGCCCTAACTTGGGATCCTAAAGGCAAGGTGAAAAGAGGCAAACCAAAGAACACATGGCACCGGAAATCGGTGGCAAACATCGAAAAATGAATAGTACTTGGCAACGAATGGAAAGGAGAGCCCAGGACATGATTAGAGAATGTTGGTCGGCGACAGATGCTTCACGAATTGTAATTGTTAATTAATATATCTGAAATTAGTTATATTTGAGTAGTTCTACATGAGTATTATGCTCTTATTTGGTTGATTTATTTTAGTTGTTAGGACTAGAAAAGATTTGTACAATTTTGTCGAATTTTCCCGATATTAATTTGGATAAATGTAGAACAGATGCTTTGAAATTGGCATTGGCTACACCTCGAAGTTTAACAGCTTGGTCGATTCCCAATAGACAGTATTTAGATCGAAAATTTATGGAAAATGAAGAATTAAAAGTTGAAAACCTGAATTCCAAAGGAAACGAATCGTCAACTTCTGATTTCTATGAAGTAAGTTTAATTGCATTTTCGGGCATTCAAAAGATTATCCAACTACATTTCTTCTAGAAGTGATTTAATATTAGATTGTGAAGTTGAACAATTAAACTATTCGTTTAGTAATTATTCTAGTGAAAAGTTCATTTTTCGCGATTTATACTTTTTGGACTGAACTTGTAGTTAAACGTCGTCAGATATTCGATCTTTTACTCATGAGGATATTACAAATATATTAGTATTTTATTTTCAGAATCTGTTTTAGTTATGTCCCCCTTAGACGCGTTTTTTGACAATATTTGATTTCTGGTTCTTACGATTTTATTATGTATGGCTTTTAATTTTTCGTCATGTTCTTATCTTGTTATTCGTAGTAATCCTTTTGTCTCTAAAACAATACATTCTTCCTCTTTAATGAATAAATTTGTTAATTAAATCCTGTTGATTTACAGTCATGTCGCTATTTTTTTAAATCAGCGTTTAAAATCACAGAATGCATGGCCAGATCATTTAGAATATGATTTTACAGAATCATTAGAATATTCTGATATCGATGTTGCATCAAATGTTTGTGAAAAACTAAATATATCGTCAAATGCTTTTAAATTAGTCCCATTACTCAGTTTTAAAGATGCTGTGGTGCATGTGAAACGTCCAGATTGTCTAGTTTTAGATGTACGTAATATCAAAGAATATAATAGGTAAGCATTCAATAAATAATGTCTTATTTCTATGATATATTCCTATTAATTGTTTTCATAAGTAATATATTCATGTATTCTGTTTGATATTGATCATAAATTCTTATTTATTTCTCCAAAATTTTAAAAATTGATTTAGATGAATTCACTTGGTATTGTTTACTTGAATCTTCCCATTGATGTTTAGGACTGTGAACGGTACTGGGTTCGAGTCCCGGAGTGAACATCAACTCTGAGATGCAGATACATCTAACTGACGAGTCCCAAATAGGACGAAACGCGCGTCCTGGATTCCAGTGCTAATCACTATCCATCTTTGCTTATAATTGATTTAGATGGTTATAACATTTAATTTTCATCCATGACATTCTATGGGTACCATAAAACTAAGCAGTGATTCAATAATGGTTATAAGCAAGCAGGCAGGTCTGTCATCTCACATTATCTATATTATAGTTTATAGAGGTGAGCCAAAAAAAACTGCGATGAATTTTCAACCAGTTCTTAGTCGATCAGAAAACAGCTCTTAGGAAATGGCTATTTTTTGGAAAACAAAGCAATAATGTCATAAGTGTTAAACGGATTTCGCATAATTAATTAATCTGTTAAAATCCTTTCAATGTTTTTCTTCTTACAAATTGAAAAAAAAGTTATATGACTTTATCCATATAGATATACAACATTTGTCTTTTCGAACCCTTTTAAAGACCTAAAATGATTTATAGGAGTTCCCAGATTGTTCTGGAATCATGAATTAATGTTGAGATTTAGGATTAAAAGTTATGTTTGGAGTTTTTGTCACAAACTGACATAATGTAGTATTACTTTATAACTACATAGATTGGAGGTTTAGTTGTAGCACTATGTGTTCAGTGTTATGGATTTTAGATTAAAGATTTAAGGTTTAAGTCATAGTTACGCGTTTACGGTTAAGATTTAGGCATAGAGTTCATTTGAGAGTTTCATACATGTCACATAGCAAGAATTGTTCACTTGATTCGTTTAACACTATTTTTTTCACTTTATAGCAAGAAAGCTAACTTTCGTTTTCATTTTTAACGTTTAGAGGACTATACAGAGGTACTTGTACCGCAAAATACCTAACAGCCGTTTTCTCAACTTTGATTGCCTCATCCCTATAATATATTTTCACTTATATCATTTTCGCACTTTTTCTGGAAATACTTTTGTTTTGACCGGATGAATAAATAGGAGAGTATCACGTGATTAAGGAACACTAACATAATAACAGTATTAAAGATTGGAATCATTTTGGCACTCATACCTACATGGAAAGTAGTATGGTTAAAGCCAAGTAATCAGAATTAATTCTGTAGTTAGTCGCTGTATTAAAATAAACTCTTATTTTTTTATCTTGATGAATGATGAGCTATGATATTTTCATAAAATCTTTGGGCTATAGACAAATTTATCACAGAAAAGTGATTGAAAGATTGATTTTTAAGATCAACTTTCTCTTCACTCAGTTATATATGTAATATTCATATGCATATCTCAAATTTTTTTGATTATGACAATATGATTCATGTTTATTTATCAAGAATGTAGTTAGATAATAATGTTTAAAGTAAAGAGACTTCAGAATTTTCCTTTTTTTTTAATCAGATTTTCCGTTGTTTAGTCATTCCCCCAATTTTGTATTGCCATATATTCCCATTCATTATAAGAGTATGATAATTTATCAGTGTTACGTGTTTGTAGATACTATTAGATTTTGTAGTTTATATCACAGACTGATGTTATTTAGATAACCACTGAAAACCACGAAGCAGCAAACACATGTTCTGTCCTGGTACCGGAATCCTTGTCGGTACACATCCACGATCCCACCTAGATCGACTCCAGGACCTTTTGATCTTGTGGCGAGCATTTAAAGTGTGGACCACTGAGCTAGAATACATTCACATCGTATAGCCTCCATCGATTCACGGTATTGTCCAATCATCTCTCGATTTTATTGCTACTGTCTGAAACTCGACCTTTACATCAATTCAATCATATATGAAATAACGAGGTCAACGTTATTTTTCATGGAATTAACTGATTTAAGTCAATAGGAATCAAATTCAAAACATTTAAAATAGTTAAGAAGTAATTTACTCTGTAATTCGCTTGATCAAATAAAACTGGAGTTATCTGCATCATCTTTATTGTACAATGTGTTTGTTGTTTCAAGTATTTTCATTCATGGGGGTGATTGTTGCATATTATAATGTAGCTTTCATTAGTAGTTTTTGGTATTCATCCTGCACGTTGGACTGTACCACATTGACTTCTTCATACCAAACAGTTATAGAAATCTCCACAGGTGATCAGAAATCTTTAGTGAAAATAAAACTCCAATTTGGAACACTCACTCACTAAATGAACATAAAGATAGCCGACAAACAGCTAGATACAACAAACTTGTTGAACAAATAATACTTAAATGTATTGAGATCATGAACCGATTGATGTTAGACCACCATTGAAAACCTGGATGCACTGGACGGCCGTTTCGTCTTATTGTGGGACTCCTCAACAGTGCGCGTCCACGATCCCGCTCCCAGGAAAGTAAAATTAAATAGAGCAATAGATAAATTGTAAACATGAAACGCAAAATAAAAAATGTTAGACATTCTAAGGTCAATCAAAAGATCAAGATCAAATGTTCATGATCCACTGTAGTTTTATTAATCGCTTTAATATGATTTACTTTGTATTCTAGGTTTTTGTGCCATTGTTCATTCAATAGTTCATCCATACACAAGAAATACTTTAGATGCAATCAATTCGACATAAGAACCTTTTCATGCATCAGTTTAAAAAAATTCATCCATTAATTTTCTATATTTGGGTTAAATTACAAGTTCCAACCCTGTTGCTTCACTGACTTAACTTTCATCTGGCTGGTAGTATCAGTATTCTTCACAAACACACATTATATATATATATATATATATATATATATATATATATATATATATTTATATATATATATAAACCCTGCTTCGGTTTGGGCACCCGGGCAGTATCACAGCCCTCACACATATCGAATAGGATTTTTGTAGCGCATATGTATTTTGTGCCTCCTTGTACCAATATCTATGTGTTAAAATAAAAATATATAAAAACACTTACATGTCGATGTACAGGGTAAAGAGGGGTGCTACACAAATTTCTTCTGTGCGCAACGGTTGGGCCATTTAATAAACATTCCAATAGTTTCAGCAGTTTCCAAAAGACAAGTCCGTATATTACAGGTTAAATTTGACGAAATAAGGTGTATAACTATAAAAGTCTTACTCAATTCAACTTTATTTCTTGTATGTTTCGGGATCTGGATCATAAAGTCTCGTAGTAATTTCTGGTCGTTCGTTCAACTTGTGATATCAGTTTGTCCATAGAAGTATGAAAGAAAGTGTGTAAAATTTACTCTTTGAATTTAATTATAGGCTTAAAATGTGAGTATTAACGAATATGAATAAAAGAAGTCTGTTAGCCACTTTATAATTAGCAAATCGATTCATGTGCTAATAAAATTCCTTGTTAACTGTTAAAAATACACTGAATGTAAAGTTGAGTACTACCAAAATCATAAACCAAGTCTGTTAATAAAATTAGACAGGCTTACTTTACGTATCCGATATTCTGTTTCCTAATTTTATAAATTCCAAATTTACATGCTAAGACACATTATTGAATGTTTGGTAAACACTTGACATTGTAACTGTGAAATTTTTCCAAAAAATCACTTTTTTTCAGATTTCATTTGCCTAACAGTATTCATTGTGGGATTTCCAGATCTGTAATGCGAGATTCTTCATCAATAGGAATTGAAGAAAGCAGCGATATATCTTCAACTACCACTAGCTCTTACAATACTTTCTCTCCAGAAAACTGGGAGGTGATTGACTATCCAAGTGGTAATCGTAATCGACCACAAATCATACCAGAGTTTTTAGCCTTTCTTATAAACCAAAAACTATGGCATCAAACAACACAAGCTAGACAGTTATTAAATATTAAATCAAGTCATGGAGTCACTAAGGAATCGGTCAACACAGTAACACCATGTTCACCTGGGCTCTTAATTGTATGTGGCAACGACGAGCGTCTTTGTTGGGATCTGGCGTTTTGGCTCATAAAATGTGATATTGATCGTGTTTGCATACTTTTTAGTACTAACGACAGTATATCAGACTTCATAAACTTATGTTCTCAATAGTTTGTTGTTCTGTCATCTCACCATCTCAAGATTGTGATTTGTATACCTCTTCATCCCTTTGGTTTCTGTTCTGTATCAGACTACAGTTTTAAGTTCTTTCCGCTAAATGACATCTTGTTGAACGCATCAAAATATTCTTGATTTTATGATAAGTGATTGAACTACTGTTGCTAATAATCAGTCATTTGTGATTTATTAATTTCCTTCGTATCTTAACCGTATTTTGTATGTATTTAATACTTTTCAGCATCACTAATTCATTGTATTTTTATTGTTTTGTTAATTCTAATCAGAAGTGACTGGGTTGTCTAGTCGAAAAGCAATAGAGATGTTTATAGCACTTTATTTATGGAAAAGCTCCAAGAAATTTCTGGAAACGTCATAGTCTCGCTAAGAATAATGCCAAATCACGTGATTACCACTCCGGTGGAACGCATTGGGGTCAGTTGTAGTTATTCAAAGCAGTAAACTATGTATTTAATAGATAGAATGTCACAGATTTCTTTGTCAGATTGACACTGGGACATGATCGGTTCCCAGAACCAGTAAGCAGGAACTGGTGTAAAATTCTCAAATTTCTTATGGTAAGACGATTTTTACTTTCAGTAAAAATCAATTCCTTTGAATAGGCGCAAAACGTTTAGAATTCCAAGAGTTCATAAAATCCAAGATTTGGACAATGGCGCACACCAATCGAGATTTCTAAAATAACGTAATTCGGTGGGAATGGTTGTATTGATTTAATGCAAAGGTAGGTGTTAAATATACACTGTCAGGTGCTTTGGAGGTTTATATGAATGTATGAAAATCCCTTCTTATGTGACGTGTTGCCTTTCGAATTATTTTCCTCCATCCCTTCAGCTGTATACTTCCCTGATCTTTTAGTCCTAGATGAGACAGCTACTATTTTTCCATCGTAACTTTTACTTTTCCTTCGTCTAGCGAATTCTTATGGTTCTCACGAACTACATCAACATTGTTTTACGTGGCTCTGATGGCTACCATGTTGACTCATTTCCCTTGCACTTTTATCTTAAATTAAAGCACATTTTCGTAAGCGCTCATTGTCGTATAAATCTTAAATATTACCTTTTGAATTAGGTCCACTTGATCTATCCAGAAGGGATAATTTTATATTATTAAGAACATTTGCTTTTTCGAACTGACTTGATTGAATTTGTTGAATAACTGTGGTAATTTCTTTAGAACCGTTCCTTACTGTTGGTACGGCTCTCAGAAGGTGTGACTAAGCCCGATACAATTCTCTAGAACATCGACATGGCATGTGTGGTAAAATATTTATGTAAACTTCCTGTTTTTGTATTGTCTGGATTATAACGATGTTACTGCACATAACAAGCTTTAAAGACAGATGTTATTCTGTACATTTTGACACTTCAGTAAACTTTTTTTGGGACTCAAGGGTACTAGACGCTCCATTGTCGCGGTCATATCCGAATCAACCATAATCAAGTTACAGAATAAACACTTGCATGTCTACTTTGTTTGACTTTTAACTGGTAATCGCACGAGTATCCGAACGAAATTTCATATATATTACAAATTTCAATCCGATTCGTTTTAAAATTTATTTGCATGATCCATAGCTGTTATCGTATAGTCGATTTGTATTCACGGAGCCGCATACAGTCGAATTACAAGTTATCTATCTCATAATATGTCAGGTGTCGGAGAGTGAATGTGTTCTTATCAAAAAGCAACCTGCTACAATCTCGTGACTGAATAATTCTATCCACTCAGAAGTGGACAGTCACCGGTGCCTAGTTGTATCAAGCTTGAGAGAAATATCATCAATGATAAGCGATGTCAGCTCAGCGGTCTAAATTTTTCGCACTTGTCGTGAGACTTGATGTTACTTCAAATTGAAAAACATCAATAAATTAAGTAGACCTGGACCAGAAGGGATATAGTGAAGCACCCAGTTGAGTTCATCTGAAAAGTTGTTTATATGCTGCAGATTCTACTAAGTAACATGAAAAGCCGTACAAAACGTGTGCGAGTTTTATTAGGCCATACGATACCAGGATCAAGCACAAAGGCAAGTTCGAACTGACCATTCCACTTATGGACTGTCTTGATCATAGAAAAACGTTAATGACAGGGACTATCAACTCGGAAAACTTTGTATAAGTAGCTTACCTGTCCACTCACATCAGGCTCATACAGAGAAACAGGAAGGAGAATCTCATGCGTTTAAAATTGAAAGCATAAACTGCTTATACATGAACGCCACGAGTTTATCAAATAAAATGGGTGAGCTATGTGACGCTCATCTGATAGGAATGTCTGAAACTTGGATATCTTCTCAGTTTACGGCACTGTTGGGCAGAATACGAACGAACTGATAACAACGGCACATACAGGCAATACAAACGTATAAGGAACACGCGCACAAAGGCAATAAGAGAAGACAGACTATAGTACCAGGTAAAGCTTATAGATGAGTTTGTTCAATCATTTCTTCGACAAGCCAAAACTGTAGTTTCCCAACTATTATGTCATAATGGCCTGACAAATAACGACGGCAACGCCGCTTACCTTTTGGCTGGACAATACTCTTGGACATTTCAACCGACCCACGTCAACTATACTGATGACAGCTTTATCTGCAACTGCACAGGATTTTCTGTAGTGAACGTGAGCGCTGACTTGGTGTTCCGGAAACTGCAGCACCTAAGAAACGACATTTCTCCTGGCGCAGATATGGTCTATTCTACTATATTGAGGGAATCAGCTTCAATCCTGGCAACGCCACACTCTCTAAGCCGAGGAAAACTACCGGAAAATTGGAAGCTGGCTCACATCACACCAATTTTCAAAGGAGGTCGATGCAGCGAACCTTCAAGTTACCAACCGGTGGCTCTTCTCTCTATACCTTCAAAACTCATAGTCTCTGATATGCGATGGTATGCACGACTATTTACTGTCCTTAAACTTCTTATCACCCAAACAGCATGGTTTCAGGAAGGGTCGTTCTTGCAGAACCAGCCTTCTGACTGCGGTGAACAAATGGACAGCCATCCCTGATCGAAAGGGAAAGGTTGACGTCATTTACCTTGACTACTCAAAAGCTTTTGATAGGGTCAACCATATATGTCTTATCAATAAGCTCAAATGATTGGGTGTCAATTCACCTCTACTTGACTGGCTCACTTCATATCTAAAAAAGTCGAAATTTTGTGGTCATGGTTGACTTCGCTTTCTCTCAGGCTATGGAATATCCTAGTTGGGTCTCCCAGAGTTCAGTACCAGTACCTCTTCTTTTCTTGGTTTGTATAAACCATCTTCCACAACAGGTATCGTATGAGTTGTAACCATATACAGGCACTTCAGGAGGATCTGACTCGACTTCAAAATTGGGCAGATGACAACGGACTTACCTTTAACACTTCGAACTGTAACGTGGTTCATCTGAGACATGTTGCAGACTACAGTTACAACTTAGGTAACTCCTCTCTAGTAGTATCCCAAGTCGAAAAAGATTTAGGAGTCCTGGTGCCCTACTATTTAAAGTCTTACGCTAACTGTGACAATAATGCCTTCCGAGCAAACCTTGCACTAGTAACATTGAAGCGCATTTTTGACCGGGTAACTTTCCATTTAGAATACGGAAACATAGTATTTCATCCCTCAATCCAAAACGATAAGGACACTGTAACGTATCCAACGGCGAGCCACGAAATCAGTTCGGGGACTCAAATCCATGCCTTATGAATAGCGCTTCCAATCACTCATTAGAGCATGGGCGTCTTAGAGATGACCTTTTAATTGCTTACAGTATCCTTAGCACTTCTGGACATTCCCTTAAATACCTACTTAGGTTTAGCTGCAATACAAAACTAAGGGGGAACACTCAGAAACTAGATACAACACAGCAGAACGGACTGTAAGCACAACTTCTACTCCTTAAGAGTTGTCAAATGCTGGAATTCACTGTCGACTGAACTAGTCCAAGCCACTTCCCAGGAGTCCTTTAAGAGAAATCTTGACCTATTCCTAAGGACTAAGGATAACGTCGTATTATGGTTTACCAAGTTTTTTCTTTTTCACCTCTTATCGTTAATATACCTAGGTTCCTGCCTAGAAGTACAGGTGATCCACTGCTACTAGACACGAAAGTCCGTTAAGCGAAAGCTTCTATTACGTCCACAACCGTTTGAACCATTTGAAATCGATAAACATGATTGAAAAAGAAACAGCCAATAGCTGAATGACACATTCTCCAACAGGTGCAGTCATTGTCATAATATCTTGCATTTAAGATAAGGTGATAAGAAGTAAGACGGTTCCTATTATCTCAGGCGCAACATTCTACCGAAAGGCATAAAAATATCCCTCAAGTAATAGTTGCGAATGGGGAAGCCAAATGTACGGAAACAACAAACCTTCAATAAAATCACCTGGAGCAAGTCGATCAGTCAGATACCCGATACGGTTGTCCTAGAATCCTAAATGTTAGGTAAGACACGCGTGGAACGGTAGTCGAACCCAAAAGAATTTGAAGAATTGACTACATTTCAAAAACTATAGACAATAAAGTAATTTTGATCTCAAATATTCTAAAGGAGAAACCGAATATGCGTAGATACATTCAGCAACAGAATAAACTATAGATGTGGGGAGAGAATAAGTTGATGATCATAGGGGAAGACAAACATAAACGAATTCTCTAATATATTCTTATAGACCTGTGGGAATATTATCTTTGGGCACCGTTGAAGAGACGAAATATTTATCCAGTGCTCCCTAGTTCCATCCGTCACAAAAAATATGAGACCTGCAGTTTTTGTGAGATTGTCATTGAGGCCAAGCTAAATTATTTAGCAGGCAGATCACTGAATGTCAAAAGTTTTGTGGGCCCCGTCAATATCAAGGACTACCAATGTGAAGTAATTGGACACCACGGAAAGGACAGTGACTACACTCTATATTTATTTGATCTGACAATATTAATACATTTACTTAGCAATGCCATGTTGCGCTATAAAGTCGTCTCAATAACCAATGTACATGGATATCACAATAAGCTAACCGACGTTATGAATTAAATGTGAGGTGTAACGTGGATGTTAACCAGAAAATCACACTATTTTTAAGTAGACTTCATCGAAATAAATCATTTATATTGACGATTCTCAGATCCTTAAACCACATAGAGTCTGGTCAATCAACGGTGGCAATCTGTGTTTCTAGAAAGTGTGATGTATTGCGCAAAACTTTTGTTTTTGCTTATCAAACGCAGGATACTCTAAAGCGAAAGAGTACTAGATCTTATGTGAGCTCAGACAATCTCAAGGAAAGCAAGTGATATAGAGGGGAAACTCAGTTTCGTCGTCTACTTAACATCATTCACCTTCACTGATATGGAACTCATAGTTTCGGGCCCAACATTATGAAATGAAACGACGGATACTTTAAAATATTTCCATACATATTTGTATTAAGGCTTTAAGATACACCTCTTGTGAGTATGGAAAACTTGTAGTGGTATTAATTACTAACCGCACAACCTTCGAAGTCGAGCACATGATTACTCAAAAGACTTATATTCAACACAACACAAAGAGGTTAGTATGGGTACACCAAAAAAATTCAATCTACTCATTCGAATGGCACGGCTCAGCCTTGCAGGCATGGTCACTCCTATGTAACTTATCCCTTTTATTCACAATAAATATATTCTTCTACATCCAGCCTAAATGTGTTCTTTAGAAACTCCAAACACTATATTACTGATTGTACAATACAACGAGCAGAATAGTCAATGATATGACTTCCATGTATGATCTCATAGGTTAGGTAGTCAAATTATTACAAATCCAAATATCAGGATTAGATATGTTATTATAGCAATGCTAATAACGAAGCGGACCATAGTTCTACAATCCCTCCCTGTATATAACACAAATGGCAATAACCTTTCGTTACACTATGAATGCAAGATTATCATTCTCGCTAATTTTGTTGTTTGTCCCGTTCATCTTGTTTGAAGAAGACATTACTGTTATTAATTTTATACATCATTTTGGTTTTCTCGATGTGCCACTTTATCTGTATTGTTTCTCCTTTATGTTGAACTGCCGGATAACTCATCCAAGCAAGTTAATGGTTGGATACAGCTCATATAAAATTACATCAACGATATAACTAAGATAAATGTGCATATCTAGATCAATTGAAGCACCGGTAACTGCAGTGGATGTTCTACAAGTTAGACCAGACTTTTTCGTTAAAGATTCTTAAGAAGTAAACAATCATAACCTCCAAGTTACGGCATGTCCTCGTGGACAGTGGTGTGACTTCGACGCAAGATCTTGTTAGTTGTATTTCATGAAAAATCAGCACCATCAATTCATCGGCGTAGATATGTCCATTCATATTGGCCAGGATCCTCAAATCTCACATTAGTGCTACAACACGCGGAGTTTGATCATGCACTTCTACCATTAGACTTCAACACAACGTCTGTAAGTTTCAGAAAGTAAGTTATGGAACTTAAATGATTATTCCACAGGTAAC